TGAAACATGAAACGTTTTGACTCATGAAACATTCTGAAACATGAAACGTTCTGAAAAATGAAATGTTTTTAAACATGAAATGTTCTAAAACATGGAACATTCTGAAACGTGAAATGTTCTGACTCATGAAATGTTCTGAACATGAAACATTCTGAAACATGGAATGTTCTGAAACATGAAATGTTCTGACTCATGAAATGTTCTGACTCATGAAATGTTCTGATTCGTGAAATGTTCTGACTCATGAAACATTCTGAACATGAAACATTCTGAAATATGGAACGTTCTAACTCATGAAACATTCTGAACATGAAACGTTCTGAAACATGAAATGTTCTGACTCATGAAATGTTCTGAACATGAAATGTTCTGATTCGTGAAATGTTCTGACTCATGAAACGTTCTGAACATGAAACATTCTGAAACATGGAACGTTCTAACTCATTGAGTTGAAGTTTGACAGAATGAAGGAAACAGACAGAAACTGAAGCTCAGATTTCCACGTGTCACTTTAATGCATCATCAGTGTCTTCGAGGCAACTTTAATTGAAACAAGAGGAAAACAATTAGCACATTTCATCCAGCTTCTTGGTTCTGACTCGGAGTCTTTAACCCTGCTGACGTCAGGTCAGTGGTTTGGGGCGGAGCCTGTGTTCAGGTGTGCACACTGCGTTTCCGACAGATGAACTGTAAGTTGCTGTTGCAGTGGAGGTCGTTGAGGCGTCCGTCGTTATGAAGGTGAACGCAGTCTTCATCTTCAGAACCTTGACCATGACCCGTCCCGCTGTCAGGCTGCCCGACTGCCCACCGCCTGGTGCCACCCACACACACACACACAGATACACTTGGTCATTAGTAGATCGAACCTGAGTCGGCCCACATGTGTCCAGGTGTTCTGTACCTGCGCTCCATGGTGTAAGGGTTCTGATTGACCCACTCCCACCTCCCAGTCCTCCAATCAGACAAACCCACCCAGTAGAACCTGGGAACCGTGTGCTTGGTCACAAAGTCCTGCAGATACCAGAACACAGGTGCAGAGTGGTCATCCTAGTCCTGTTTGGACCTGCAGCTCAGACCTCAGAACCATCCTTCAGTTTAAACAGTCACAGGAAGTTGGACTGGACTACTGTTTCCAGAACTTTAACACGTTTTATACAAGTTTAACGATTTTAACACACGACACGATGTTCCCGTTAGAGTCGAAGCTTTCCAAAACTCTTGCAAACATCCATCCTTCCATCATCTTTACCCACTTCTTCCTTTCTGGGTCACTGGTGCTCATATCCAGTTGTCACTGTGCAAGAGGCGAGGGACATCCTGGACAGGTCTCCAGTCCATCACAGGGACATATAGAGACAACTGAGACAAACAACCATTCATTCTCTCTCTCACCTAGAGACAATTTACCAGTCAGTCTAACATGTTTTTGGTCTGTGGGAGGAAACTGGAATACCTGGAGAAAACCCACGCAGCACTGAGAGAACATGCAAACTCCACCCAGAAAGGTCCTGGGCCAGGATTTGAACTGGCGACCTTCTCTCTGAGAGGCGGCAGCTCTACCAACTGCTCCACCGTGCTGCCCTCTTGCAAACACATACTGTATTTCTTATTTTCCATATGTTTCCTCTTCTTCTCCAGATTCTCCTGCTTCAGTCTTTCTGTCTCAGTCCCCCATCCATGTGTCTGTGCAGGACTGATGATGTCCTCTCAGAGGTCAGAGGTCAAACTCCCATTGACTTCCATCATATCTGAGCTCAGAGGTTTCTCTCTTTAACTTCTCCTCCATCAAACTCTGTAGAACCTTCAAACAGAACCTGTTGTACCACTAGAACCTTCTGCTGCTCACGGGTCAAGAACTTCTAGTTTTCCACAGAGACTGTTTGTCTGAGGCTTACTTTTTACTATTTGTTTCTGCCTGAAGTGCTGCTGGGTGCAGCCCCTCCCCTTTCTGCTCCTGAAAATGGTGGGAATCACCATGGCAACTACTGACTCAGCAGCTTATGAGTCTTTATTACCCATCATGCTTTTCTTCTTTCTCTGTTTCCATCATGGCCGCCCCGTAGATCGTTCATGTCACAGACCTTTGATGTGCTTCCATAACAGATGGAATGACAAGGAGGATTCAGTCAGAGGGTCGGCAGGAAACAGGAAATGGACTGAGCCTGGAGTTTCAAAATAATGCTCAGAGACACCCTTCAAAATAAGAGTCTAGCTCTGTCACAGCTTACTACAGAGGAAACACCTCGGCTCAGTTTTCATGTGTTGTTCATTCATGTAGCTCTAACTTCACTGCTGGTTCATTTTCCAACACATTTAGCTGTAATTAGTAACTTAATGATTGATGGGGGGCGGGGCCTACAGCCTCTGGCTCCAAACATCCAACATGGCTGCTCCCAGCAGATGGCTGTTTGGTTCATCAGAAGTAGACACAGACAATTCAACTGTCTGCTGGTGCTGGTTCTGACCCAGTCCAGGTGAGTACAGGCTCTGTAACAGACTTACAGTTCATAACAGACAGTGAGACAGGCAGGCAGACAGACAGGTGTCTCACCCAGTCATTGTCCGTGTGCAGGATCAGCAGGAGAGCGTCTTTTTGTTCACACCACTTTCTGGACTGGTTCCAGGACAGATACTCTGAGCTGAAGTAAAAACAGTCAGAACCAAACAGAGTCCAATTCAGAGGACAGCACGGACCTTCTGCAGAGCCTGGGACACATAAAGACACAATGAGACACAGAGACACAATGAGACACACATAGACACAATGAGACATACAGAGACGTAATGAGATGCACAGAGACACAATGAGACACAATAAGATGCACAGAGACACAATGAGACACAATAAGATGCACAGAGACACAATGAGATGCACAGAGACACACAGAGACACAATGAGATGCACAGAGACATAATGAGACACAATGAGATGCAAAGAGACACAATGAAACACACAGAGACGCAATGAGATGCACAGAGACACACTGAGACACAGAGACACAGAGACACAATGAGACACACAGAGGCACAATGAGACACAGAGACACAATGAGACACACAGAGACACAATGAGACATACAGAGACATAATGAGATGCACAGAGACACAATGAGACACAATAAGATGCACAGAGACACAATGAGATGCACAGAGACACACAGAGACACAATGAGATGCACAGAGACATATTGAGATGCACAGAGACACAGTGAGACACAATAAGATGCACAGAGACACAATGAGATGCAAAGAGACACAATGAAACACACAGAGACACAATGACCTGCATAGAGACACACAGACACACTGTGATGCTCAGAGACACAATGAGACACACAGAGACAAAATGTGATCCACAGAGACACAATGAGACACACAGAGAGACACAGACACAATGAGACACATAAGAGACACTGTGATACATACAAAGACACAATGAGACGCCCAGAGACACAATGAGACTCACAGAGACATATTGAGATGCACAGAGACACAATGTGATGCACAGAGACACACAGAGACACAATGAGATGCACATAGACACAATGAAATACAGAGACACAATGAGACACAAAGAGACACAGAGACAACATGAGATGGACAGAGACACAATGAGAAACACTGAGACACATAAGAGACACTGTGAGACATACAAAGACACAATGAGATGCACAGAGACATGATGAAACACAATGAGATGCACATAGACACAATGAGACACACAGAGACACAATGAGACACAAAGAGACACAGAGACAACATGAGATGGACAGAGACACAATGAGAAACACTGAGACACATAAGAGACACTGTGAGACATACAAAGACACAATGAGATGCACAGAGACACAAT